ATATATATATATATATATATATATATATATATATATATATATACATATGCTATATATATATATAGTTTCTGGGGCTCATTAGATGCTCAATGATATTTGTTGAATGGCTTAATTAATGTTTATTGAATAGACAGGGAATCTGAGGATTAGAGAGATTGATTACCCAGTAATTACACTCCGAATTAGAGGAAAGCAGCCTAGCTATTCAAATCTATTCTCTCATTACAGTAAGCCGGAAAGCTAAGTATTACCAATTCTCTTTCACAAAGAGGGAGGCAAGGCTTGAAGAGGTTGGGTAGCCTGGCCAAGGCTAGCAGGCAGCCGAGTTAGAATTCTATGCCAAGGTCCATGCTCTTTCCACCATTCCTGAGTTACAGACGGAGTCATTAAATCTTGGGAGATCAATTATATACTTTTAAATAAATAATATGAATGAGTAGGTTGGTCATGTCAAAGCTAATGAATCAGTTTTGTGCACTTGAAGAAACACATAAAAACCCACACATTTATCAACTTAACAGTACCTTAGAATTTTAGCTTACCATGATTTTTCCCCTTTCCTTTCCACAAATATCTTTAAACTGCACCTAGATGGAAAACATGGAGTTAGGAACAATGATGGACTGAAATTGAAGAAGCAGGATTCCTTCCTTCAAGGGCATCACATTCTAGTTGGGGAGTTGAAGCATACAAGGCAAGATATGGAAAATGTCGCTGTGAAATGGGCCTAAGCAAAGCCTGAATCAGAGAGCCCATGCTGGTTATTTAGAAATATGACCTTTCATATCTAGAGAATATTTCCATCAGAAAAAAGAAGCCCCAAATTCAGAACTTCTAGAAATATGTTTCTTATCACCTTAAGCAAAATATGCTTAGAGACAAAGTTGTGAATTGACATAGGGTCAGTTAAAAAATACCTGGTTAAATACCTAGCCGTATTTATGTTGGTAAAACTAAGTGAATAGATGATCAATTACCTTTGCATTTGTTAAAAGTAGTCATCTAATATGTATAGTTCTGGTGAAATCAAATAAATAATCATAATAGTTTAAGATTTGATCTTATTTTTATCTTAATTTTATGCCCTAAAATTCCATGATTCTGTATTTGCAACTCTCTGTAGAAATAAACTCAAGCTCTTTGTTTTCCCCACTTTATTTCTCCTCTTTTAGTTAAAGGAGAAACCTCCCTTTATGAAGGTTTTATCTCTAAAATATCTAGACTTATACAAATAAAAAGAGAATCTTTCATATAATTAGAAATAATTCTGAAAATATGATTGATAGTAGCGTCCTTTAAAAAGTAAATGGTCAGTAAATAGCTGTTGATATAATTTTATTTCTAAAAGTATTTTTAAGGGAAATGAGATTAGGGATTTGAAGTTCCTCAACAATAAAACTTATGTATCACAAGATATTAAATTCTTAATAATTGCCTTGCTAGGGAACTATACATAATCTTATATATGACTCAGTCAGTTTCTCTTATTAGGATAAAAATCAGAATGAAAATTTCCAAAGTTGTGACTTATTCTGAATAATATTGTTGGAGGCTAGGACGGGGCGAGTATGTTTGAAATTCACAAGTAACCCTCAAAACTAATTTTGTGACAATTTCAGTATCCAAAATTGGACTCTGCAAATTTTAGGAAAAAGAATAAAAATGAACTGATTTATTTTGACCTCATTCTCTATCTTTGAGATAATCCTTTTGGCCTAAAAAGCAATGGATTGAACACAGATACGTTCTTATGATCATTGGACTAACAAAACATGAACAATTAATCTCCGAGGGAACAAATAGTTGACTGTGTTCTTTTGTTCTCACCATGACAATTTCTACATGATAAGTTTTGGTAAAAGTTATTTTCCTATCTCATTCATCCTAAAAGAGATTGTTTTTTAAAACATTAAAAAAAATTTTGTCCTGGACAGGTAAACTAATTTTGCTTTCACAGAGTTGGTCATCATATCTAAATTCTGAATTAGAGATAAGGTTGGCATCACAAGAAGACACAAAGACTCGGTAGCAGTACTCCCAGGATTTCAAATGTGAGGTGTGGAATGGAGTTAGTAAACTCCTTCAATGTCAGAAAGAACAAATCTCTCAGACTCCTAAAATGGCCTAAAAATGGGCTCATTCTGCACTTCAGTTTTACTTTTGGCAAAAGTACAAACTTAAAAAAAATAGTTATCTTGGAAATGTACAAAGTAAGAAATACAGTGTGGATTCTGAAGGTATTTTAAGGATAACTCATTTCAAATGAAAGTTTCAGGTTAGGTTTCAAGGGAAAGGTGGCAGCTAATTAGTTTCTCACCATTTTGACACACAAGGTCAAATATCAGAAGGGCTTTTTATACCATCTTATGAAAGGGATTTTGTGCCTTTGGGTGGTACTCCCTAAATATACCTAGTTAATATGGATAGCTTGGCAAAGAAGACATCTGACATTGTATTTTGTCTGAGAGATAATAGAAGAGATATGGACTGATCACTTCTCTCTCACTCCCACCCTCACATTCTCCATTCCCAAAAGGTAACCTCTTCAACCAAACTTACCAACAGGTAGAGAGAAAATTAAAAATATATGCATATAAAGCTATTATGAGATTAATGACAATTTCAGAACTGCAAATTACCTTATTTATATTATCTTTTCTTGCTAAGCCTTATATTAATACTAAGGTAACATTAAATTATTGATTTAAAAATAAAATAATTCATATATTGATTCAGCAAGTTTTTATGAAATGCCTATTATTTTCTAGGTACTATTCTAGGCACTACTGATGCTGAGGGGAGGAAACAAAGTCTTTGCTCTCCTAGAGCCTACTTATGGTAGGAGAGACAGAAAAGAAACAGACAAATAGGTAAAGACCCCAATATCACATAATGATAATGTAATAAAGAAAAATGATATAGATGAAGAATGAGAAACTCAAGGAAGAGTCTTTAGCTTGGGTGGTCAGGGAAGGCTTACCCAAGGAGGTAACATCTGAGCAGAGAATTTTTCCTTCCTTCATTTGACAAATATTTATTGATACTTAATGTGTGTAGGTCACTATGATTGCCACTGAGGGTTGTAGAATAAGACATGATCCCTGGTTTCTGAGAGCTTACAATCTAGCAGAGGAGCAGAGACTATATAATATTAATTAAATGTTGTAAGTAAACTGCAAATGATGTAAGAGGTCAGAAGAGGGAAATATTTCTTTCAGCACTAGTTATTAAGAAAGACTACAGAACAAGATAGACTTAACAAATGGGTGTGTAGACAGGTAGATGTGGGTCTGTGTGTGAAAGGAAATCTATGGAGGAATCGAAGAACCCATCATGAATAAAAACAAAGCAGCTAGGGGACTTCCCTGGTGGTCCAGTGGTAAAGCATCCGTCTTACAATGCAGGGGACGCGGGTTATCCCTGATCAGGGAACTAAGATCCCACATGCTGCGGGTCAACCAAGCCTGCACGCCACAACTACTGAGCTCACGCACCTCAACTAGAGAGCCCGCCGTGCCACAAACTACAGAGCCCACAAGCTCTGGAACCCGCATGCCACAACTACAGAGCCCATGTGCCCTGGAGCCTGTGCACCACAACTAGAGAAAACCCACACACCACAGCTAGAGAGAAGTCCGCGCACCACAGCGAAGAGCCGGTGCGCCACAGCGAAAGATCCCCACGCCTCAATGAAGATCCTGCGTGCCACAACTAAGACCTGACGCAGCCAAAAATAAATAAAATAAATAAATAAATAATAAATAAATTAAAAAAAAAAGGCAGCTAGAAATGCAAAGCATACTTAGAGAGCAGTAAGAGTATTGCTTGGCTTGAACCTGAGATGTGCTTCAGAAACAGCCTCTGAATATTCCTAACAGCTCAAAACAGCTCCTACAAGCAAGAAAGTTATTTGAAAACTTGCATTCTATCTATAAAATCCAGGTGAATTTTACATTCTATTTCATGAATTCATGTATCTTTATTTTTTTTTATTTTTAAAATTTTTTTTAACATCTTTATTGGAGTATAATTGCTTTACAATGGTGTATTAGTTTCTGCTTTATAACAAAGTGAATCAGTTATACATATACATATGTTCCCGTATCTCTTCCCTCTTGCGTCTCCCTCCCTCCCACCCTCCCTATCCCACCCCTCCAGGAGGTCACAAAGCACCGAGCTGATCTCCCTGTGCCATGCGGCTGCTTCCCACTAGCTATCTACCTTACGTTTGTTAGTGTATATATGTCCATGACTCTCTTTCGCCCTGTCACAGCTCACCCTTCCCCCTCCCCATATCCTCAAGTCCGTTCTCCAGTAGGTCTGTGTCTTTATTCCTGTCTTACCCCTAGGTTCTTCATGACATTTTTTTTCTTAAATTCCATATATATGTGTTGGCATACGGTATTTGTCTCTCTCTTTCTGACTTACTTCACTCTGTATGACAGACTCTAGGTCTATCCACCTCATTACAAATAGCTCAATTTCGTTTCTTTTTATGGCTGAGTAATATTCCATTGTATATATGTGCCACATCTTCTTTATCCATTCATCCGATGATGGGCACTTAGGTTGTTTCCATCTCCGGGCTATTGTAAATAGAGCTGCAATGAACATTTTGGTACATGACTCTTTTTGAATTTTGATTTTCTCAGGGTATATGCCCAGTAGTGGGATGTAGCTTTATTTTTAATATAAAAATATTTTCCCTAAAACCCTTTGAGTAAAATGAACACTTAGGAAGGCATGCCATATTTACCCTGTGGCTTCTAGTAGCCCTCTCAAATAGCTGGACATTCACATTTTACTTTGAAAACCAAGGATAGAAGGATAAAGGGAAAAACTCTAAAAAAGTTGATTGGATCCAAATATTATTAGATCTTGAATAACAGGCCCCCAGACATTTGAATTTTGTCATGTAGGAAATGGAAAAAACTAAGAAATGGTTTTTAACAGGGCCTTAGCCTTACCTTTTGATCATGCTGTTTCCCCACTCTGCCTAGAGCGACTTCCTCTTCCAAATCTTACCCATCCGTTATGGTCCAGCTCAAAAATAACCCCTTCACTCAGCCTTCTGTGATTGCTACACCTGGATTTCCATGGCAGTTGGTCAGTACTTCCTTGGCACTTAGCACATTTCACTTTGCATTTTAATCACTTTATATTCATGGCTCTGTCCCCTGCAGCACCATGAACAGGGACTTCCAAGGAGAAAAGAAATGCTTGTAGAATGAATGTATATTAAGAGCTCCTGAATGGAATGATTAATCTGGTTGCAGGATGAAGAATGTACCAGAGATGTGTAGCCTAGAAACAGTGAAATGGGTTAAGAGGCTATTAAAAATTTTCCACCATGAGCTAGTGAGTGCTGAGCTAGGAAGCTGTCATTGGTTATTTAAAATATAAAGGAAGGAATGAATATGTAACATATCACAGAGGAAGAATCTGAGTATTTTATTTGACTAGAGAAGAGAAAGGCATGCAGGAAGGTGGAATTCTGGTCTATTAACCAATTTTGGGAATTTAGGGAGTCATCCTGTGGAGCGAAGATGAAACATTTGGATTTTTGATGTGTTGATGATGGAAACTATAATGGAACTGTCAGGTGTCAAGTGAGAGTGACTCAACACTGGAAAAAGTTCTAAATGTAGATAAATTTAAGAGCCATTTGTACAGAAGTGAGATTGGAAATTACGATGGTGTACAAAATCTCTGAACAAGCCCTTTTGAGCAGTGAGAGGAGAGTGGAGGAATGACAGTGAGTAATGTCCATATTAACAAGAGAAATAGAGAAAAGGGAGATGAAGTAGAGTACAAGGAATGAAAGGTTGGGGAGGCAGGAAGAGAAGCAGGGTGTTTGGAAACAGAAGAGTTCCAGGAACAAACTCACATCCATCAGAGGGTGAGGAGTTAGATACACTGGCAGGGCAGTTGGGAGACCTTTAGCGTGGGCGGAATAGAAAGCAAGATTTCAGAAAGGTGAAGAGACAACGTGGGTGGAGACACCAAGCCTGGGGTTACAAATGCTCCTTTGAAATGTGTGTGGCTCTAGAAGGAGGGAGAGGCTTACCAGAGGCTGGGAGCCAGAGTTGGAATCAAGAGGAAACACGGTGGCCCCATATTTTGATGCCCCCCCAATTTAACTTTAGGCTCCTCCCTTCTCTACCAGGCACAAGACATTTCATTCTCTGTCTTTTCTGGTCTGTCCTCAAATTCACCAGAAGTGCCCCAGAATACTGACCTTTTCAAAACTACTGTTTCTGTTGAAAACATATCTGTCCTCCATCCCATTTCTTTGAAGTGGCATTTTCAAGTGTTCCACAAATATAGTTCCTCAAGATGCTGTATGAAAAAGGACCCACAGACTCTACCCTTTTTTATTGTTACTGTCAAAACCCTTTTGGTGGTTCCATGTTGGAGAAATTTTGTTTTAGGGTCTTGGTTGTGGATAATTAATCTGATAGATGCATGCATGGTTGGTTTAATGATTATGAAAGGAAGATTAACCTTCTGATATTAAATATTTATAATTTGCCAGAGGATTCAGGAGAGAATCCAAAAGCAAGTTCAGTGTGGGGATTCAGCCTTATGGATGACAAGTAGGGATAAAATTTTGGGCAGCAGCATCTTTTAGACCTCTCAAATCACACCATCCAAGTGCATGATGGCTACTCAATATCTATATCACTTTTATATCCACAGCGAAGTGCTATATCCTTTTTTACTAGGGCTATTACTCTGTTTTACTCTAAGTAAAAACTTCAATCAGTTTTTCATCCAGCCTGAAGAATGGAAGGGAGGAGTACAACACCGTAATGATATCGTACGCACTGCATTTTTACCTCCACAAATTCTTGTTACAGGTTACTTGAACCTTCACATGACCATCAGTTGTGAAAATTGTATTTTTTTGCCTCACTCACTTTGAAAAAGCCTTTTCTCAACTGCAAAATGAAAAGATTTCTTAAAGAAGCAGTCCTTGCCCTTAGAGATACTCTTGATCCTTATTTCTAGGGCTGGGTGATAATGGTTATGACCATCAGCTCCTGAGCTTGGCTACCTGGCTTCAGATAACGGTTCCACCACTTGCCACTACCTCATATGGAGAAAGTTATTTAAACTCTAAATTATAATTTTTTCTGATTAATAATAATATATCAGTATCTTGGTTTATACTGAAGATTGCACAAGATAATCTGTGTAAGGATTTAACCCAGTGCTCACAATAAGCTCATCAGTAAATACAAGTTTTATTTTCATTGTCCTTTTTTGAGGAGCAGCATTAGGGCTGTTGGGTACAAATCACACTTCCGTGGTACTCAGATATTTTGTAATGGGAACACATTAACCCTGTGGCACAATTTAGTCTAAATAACATTGGTTAAAGACTGGTCTCATGAAACGTCTATAAATCCAAGCTCTTGAAAGGATCCACAGGCATACTTTGACATGATATATTAACGGATCAGAAATTGCTGAATCATTTCCAGCCAAAGAAATAAATTTATAGAGACAGATTGCACCATGAAATTATCAAGTCTGTATTTTGACAGACTAATTTTTTTTTTATAGAACCAGAAATGTCATCAATTAAGAAGAATGAAAAATTACAGGAAAAGAGCTTGGATATCTATGAAGTGTTACAATACAAGGTTTCCTGCTCTATCTACATTTACAGTTTCATTGTTTTCAGAACTTGCCTGATTATCTTCTGGGGGGCCAACTCTGCAGTTGAATTTGCTATGTAGCTGCTGGAAGTCTACTCCCATGGACAGGTAATCCGTGGAAACCCATCATCCTCGGGCAGTTTACAGAGTTCAGCATGTATTACTCTCTTCTCTCTCCAAATCCCAAGAAAGACACCATCAGTACAGCCCACTCAGCTCTGGTCTTCTGCTCTCCACTTGATGTTGGCATTCTGCTCACTAGGGAACTTTCCTCACTGGGCTGCTGAGAGCAGTGGTCTGGGCTTGCACTGCTCCTCCCGAGACAGGCTTGGTCAGACTTAGCCTCGCTATTTGGGCTTTTCTATGTTTTCTGTAATGAGCAGTAGGGAAGGACTTTGTGTAGGGAAACTTTTAATATTGGAGAAAGCAGCATTCAATAAAGGACATAAAAGAGAAGGAACTGAAAGAACACACACACATCAACTATACTTCAATTAAAAAAAAGAACACACACACACACACACACGCACATGCACACACACACACACGCACACACACACACACATACACACACGAAGACTGTAGGAAACAGAAACCAAGAAGGACTTAATTTGTTTGCCCTCAATAATAAACAAATATGACAAAAATTATTAACACTTTTTCAGTATTTGTAATATGCTAGGCACTAAGTGCTTTTCATTCTTCACAGCAGCCCTATGAAAAAAATAAAATTATTAACCAAGGTTTATAGGTGAGGAACTTGTGGCATCAGGTAAAGTTAAATAACTTGCCCAAGGTTACACAGCTAGTAGGTGGTAGAACCGGGACTCAGACTCAAGCTGTTTAGTTACAAAGCTTTTATTCTGAATGCTTTATTACTATAAAATGAAAAAGATATAACAATAATTTCTGTCACACTTACTGAACAGATATTTCATGAAGTTTCTAAGTTCTAAAGTTTAATAAAAACACTAGTAATTACTATTTGTTCATGTCTCCAAATACGCAGTGAGAACTTACGAAGCGCCAGATTCCGTGTAAGTTATTTCGATAATGATTTCTTCTAATTGCTGTTGCTCATATTTTCTATCTAACTTTCAGGCAAGTTCTGTTCTCTGTCTTGGCTCATATAGGGAGCTGTGATGGAGAAACTGTCCTGTGGAACAGTAGCACAGAAAATGCTCACTATATCCTTCACCCTGATTATCAGCGGCTGCTAAAATCCAAATCGGGTGAGCCTAAGTTTGCAGCTAAAATAATGTGGCTGGGTTCAGCCACAGTAAGCCTGGTTGTTTGTTCATGGACCTGCTGCAGCTTGCTCCTAAATCATAGATGATTGGCTATCAGCACAAGGGATTAGTGATGTCGTCTCGGCAACGTGACTAAAAAGAACCTTGAGATTTACTTGGCTTAGCAAATTCTCCGTGGCTGCCGTTCCTTCTCTTTATGCTAGATCAGCGTTTCTGAATTACTGACAGCAGGGAGCAGGCCTCTCATTTTTATCTAGTTTATTTTTTGCCAATAAACCTCGCCAAATTGCCTTTGGCTGAACCTTGGGCGCTCCTTGGTAGGAAGATGGGAACTCGTGTTCACTTGATAGGCGGCTCAGGCTCAATCTGGAGCTTGTATTAAATATTATACCACCTGGAAACCTTACATTATTTCATGCTTTAGAAACCTGTGAGAAGCATGAGATGGGAGTAACTTGTGTCTGGTGGGAGTTTAGCATAGCAGATGAATACTTTATACTTAAGCAAAATGTCTGGACAATTGCCTTTCACATTTTATTTTAGTTTCTTTAGATACTAAAGGTTTTTCCTTAGACTAATTTATTTGGGTAATGAATATGTCATATCCTCAGGGCCCAGTGAGGTTCTGTTGTCTCAACTGGATAAACTCACAGAGGCTGAGTTAGACCTTATGAAAGGACTGGTCATCAGATACAGCTTTTGTGTGTGTGTGTGAAAAGCTAAGGGAGTAATTTTTTAGGAGGAAGATGACTAACTTAAGAGATTTAGAGTTTACTTGGCTGCAGGCACAAAACTCTGACCTGCTTTATGTCCAAAGAGCTAATCATGAGGGTTCATCTGAATTCTCCATGGAGAGGGTGGAATTCTGCATCTTTGTCTGCATTAGTCCTCAGGAGAGCACAGTCTTGTTCTGGTAGTGAACCTAACTGTGGCTATGATTAAAAACAGACAGTCAGATAGGAAAGAAAAGCAGATAATGTCAAATGTATAAAAGACACAAGAGGCATTGCTATAGATTTCTTGCTTTGCAATTTTGAAGACACCTCTGTATAGGTTTTTCATAACTGTGTGCAGACTGTTTATAGATTCTGAGATGAATATCCCCAGTTTTTATTAGTGTGGCTTGGAGATGATATCATTAGATCATTGAAGCACCATTAGGAATATCCTTTCCAGGGTAACTCACTAAAATAATATTGCTTAAGAATGATCATTGAAATACATTACATAGTCGTATCTCATGTTCATTAAATTATTTGCAAGCTTAATATTAATGATTAATAAGTTGAAAATGCCATGATATTAAAATCACATTTGTCTTGAACATATCAGGATCTCTAAGGTGTTAGCAGGGACTATAAAATCAAGTCCCTATTAATTCACATCAAGGGAAAACACAGTAAGCTTGTACGGAGTATGAGAAATAAAAATGGAATCAAGCAATCCTTGTAGTTGGGGTTGAAGAAGTGAACAGCACAAGGCTCCGTAGATGTTGACTGGAAACATTATGAGGTTTGCTGGAGTCTTTGGAGGCTGTGATGGGGGTGAGCCTATTGTTTTTCATAAGTGTTTTGTTTGAAAAGCATATGTCTCTTCATTAAGACACCTGGCTTCTCTCCATCTCAGATAGAGAGCCTCAAAAGCTTCCTGGTGCCGGGAGGAGCTGCTTCACCCACCCCATGGCTGACCAGGCCACGCTGGGAGCCTGTTCCTTTGAGACAGACACTGAGTGCAATAAAGCTGTTATGAGGCTTTGCTTCCTTGAAGCAAGAAAAAACATTGCAGCCACAGGTAAAATATATATTTATATTTTGACTGTAGACTGCTTTGATATATTGTGAAGTGTTGGAGCAGGGAACAATAAAGAAAGTTCAATCTAATCCGATCTAGGTCTTGTAGAGTTTGACTGTGTCTAGCGAACAGTCAGCACCAGGTCACAGGAAGCCACAGGCCGTGGCAGACGAGGTTAGGATTCAGGAGGATGGGTCCAGGAACAGGAGCTAGACCAGACCCCACAAGCAATTTATACAGTGCTGCGTGTGTCAGGATCAGAGTGAGAAAAACTCTGGGCAACGATCAGAATTGGTGTTGTAGCCATGGCGTAGAGATTTGGTAGGGTAGAGGGCACAGCAAGAAATATGCTCCAAATATACGAGCCAAAGCTTAGGTCTGCATGGGGTAGAAGGGTTGAGTCTTGAGATGACCACGCTGGCACTTATTATCAAAGTGGGCTATGAGAAAATAGTGACAAACTTGGAGATTGGGGGCAATAGCAAAATTTGAAATAGCTGCTGCTAACTGCTGATCCCAGGTCAAGAGAGCTGCCTGCTCTTTGTCTTAATATTTTTGGTGTGGGGCTATGGGTAATGCTTTGGGTGTCTTTACCAACTATGAATCCTTTCCAGAATAAGTCAGAGTTCTGGTTAGAGCTTCTTCTAAGATGTATGCCAACGTATGATTTACCATAGTTATTTGATATTATAATAGATTGAATAACTCTTTGCTTAATTTCCCCTTTGTCTTCAATGGCTGTGTTAGTGTGGTGTTGATGCAGCCTACGTGTTCCCAGAGTAAAAATCTGCTCCTGAGAACAAGGCGTAGTTTTGACCTTTCACCTAAAAAGTAATTTTTAAATTTTAGAAATATTTTTCCTCAACAATAGGAATCTAGACATATATATGTCATATGATTGAAAAAAGAAATCTGAACCACGTTTTCCACATTCACTCTCGCATATTCAATTTGCAGATGGAAAATCTGCATGATTTTCTTATATAATTTTTCTGCATTGAAAGTCAATAAAGGTATACCCCTATAGAGTTTTAGAACCATTGTGAAATATTTAGAATAGACCTTGAAACAGATTCTAAAACTCTCTATTTTCCAGGACGCACTTATACTTACAAAATGAACTATTATCCTGAAATTGCTCTCAACACTAATTCTTCTTACTGTTATCAGTATTCCCAAATTGTTTCCACTGAAGCGGCTACATACCATTATTTCTACCTTAAACAGATATGATTGTTAATAGGCAGCACATTTGTGAAGCAAATTGGAAGTCTACAGATTTATCAAATAATAATAGGAACTTTGCCACAGAAGAATAATTTAGGTAAAGTGCTTCTACAAGCCTATAAAAATGGAAAATGAAAAGGTTAGTTCTAGGCCTATGAACCAAGAAAGTGTTCCATAAGGACTTACAATGAATTCTTGATGAAAGATTAAAAAACAAGCTCATAAGTAGAATTCAAAGCATACAGCTACATAGAGGAATCAATAGCTATGCTGCTATAACTACATACACGCATCCAGCTCTGTGCAAGAGGAATTTTACTTCTTTGGTATATGTGTCCCACGGGTAATTAAGAAAGATGTGTTTTACGTAATTGAAATATTATTATAATGTTGAAATTAGTATTTTGTAAGTTTATTTGAAGTAACAGATTACTTCTATCAAAATTTAAAAACCCAAATAATATCAAAACAATGAACGAAGGAGTGGTAACTAGATTTAATGGAACATCTTACACATCCTATCTCATTTAATATTCAACAAAAACCAGTGAATGTATCATAGGGTTTTTTCCAGTTTATATTTGAGAGAATCAGAATGCTGGAAGTTGATTTTGGGGCTACTCACCTCTCCAACATCCATATGCTTTCTACAGGGCAAACCAGTGAGGAAGTTGTTTCTTGTGTTTGTAGTTTCCTAATTAGGGGTTCTCTTACATATTAGGGGGTGCCAACCTGGTGTCATGTGGAGGATCTGGGTATGTCAGATTCTGGGATACATTTAAGAAGCACCTTCTGGCTGAATTTTTGGCTCATAACGTTGTTGGTTCCATTATTGTGTCTACTGATGAGTCAAATTGATACCTCGCCGCAGGAGATCTTGAGGGGTGGTTGAAAATCTGGAATACAGAGGTACATTGAAAAAATTCTAACACTATCTTTATAATTTTTGACTGCCTTTTGTTGCAGATAACTATGAATCAGGTCTTGTCTGTTTTCTAGATAAAGGAAGACACGATCAATCTGAGTATTTTAAAGAAAACATATGTATTGATCAGACTTCTTTTAAATAATTCATGGGGAAAAACAGATTTTTCTCAATATTGAAAATCCTCTGTTCATATATTGTCAAGTCAATCCCCCAATTTAGGAATGCAGTATTGTCAGTAATATACCATGCATTGTTTGAGAATAAACAGTTAAGATATGCCTTATTTGAAGTGAGACCGTAAACATAATTTAAATAGAGTCCTGGCCTTTCATCTAACATTATTGTCCTCCTGAGTTAGTTTGGGATTTTTGTGTCACTGATTAACTGCTCAATTTTCTAATAATACTATAAAATAGTAGTATTTTTTGTATTTTATGCGAGAAAAAGACTTTACGAAATAACTAAGGAAAACTATCAAAGGTATAAAATGAACAGTTTTACTAGCACATATTTCTTAATTAAAATAAAATTGCAGTACAGATTGTGTTTGGTGGACACAGTTTATATGGCACGCATACCTGGAACAGCCCTATTTCTTGCTTCAGCACCATCTAAAGGACTTATACTCCAGACAACACCCGCTTGAAGACACTCTTTTTTTTTTTGCACCTCATCTCACCAGAGCCCATGTGGCATGGCCATATAGCAATGTCAGCATCGCATTAACTTCTCCAACTGCCAGAAGCAGCTTTTCAACTCCTTTCATGTTCAGAATGCCAGCTTTGCCCCACGCTGTCTCATCACACCTGCCCACACACCGATTTGAGTTCCCACCCAGACACTCTTTTTCCTGAGAAGAGTCTAGCACTTGCCTTATTTACAGAGCAGAAGAGGCTGTACAGCTCTTGGAGACTTCCGCATTACCCGGCCCAAAACGGTCTACCTGCACAATTTACCATCATTTTCTGATTTACCATCACCCTCCGTGTCCTAAAGGGCTGTACGGAATTCTGTCAGCACAGGTTGATATCCTCAAGCCGACTTCACAAAGGGAGCAACAACAGACTTCGTCTTCCAGCATGAAGAGAATCGCCACACTCAGGGCATGAGAGTGGCACCTGAGGCTGCTGAATAGGACCATGTTAACCGGCCAGATAGAAACTGAGGTTCCAGGCTATGCTCACACCACCATGTCTGAACAGTGCTGGTTGAAACAGATCGGGATGATATTTTGTCCCCCAAAGTACAAAGGGAACAGGAGCTGAGTTCCCATGAAAATAAATGGAAAAAAGAAAAGAAATGTGAGACAATAAATATTTTCTTTCTTCTATTTTTTTATAAGCAGGTATAAATCACAGCTTAGTTTCATGGGAGGAAAGGGTTAAAAGCATGAGCTCTGAAATGAGCCAGCTTGAGTCAAACGCCAAACTCTACCACTTATTAGCTTCTGTGAGCTCAGGCAATTTATTCAAACTCTCTGTGCCTCTGTTTCCTCATCTATAAAATGGGAATTATGAGCATTCATCCCTCATGGGACGGGCAATTGTGAAGATTACATGAAATTATTCATGTAGAGACCTTAGAACAGGAGAAACTCAGCAAACATTAGCAATTGTTATTTAGGCAGGAATAAATCAGACAATGAACAGAAGAGTTTGGTTTTTTCCTAAATTTTTCTATATTTGATTATTACCTGATGATTACTTGGCTGTCATAGTCATCTGTTTGATAATAATGCAGTAAATCTATCCACATTGTAGTGTGTTTCTACTAAATTTTGAAATTGAAGGGATCCACTTATTTTGGAGGAGAAATTTTTCTCAGAAATTCTGGCACATTTTGAGCTGCGTTGAGGCCCCAAACTTTTCGTGTCTCCAGTGTCCTCCACTTGATAGAACTGCCTTGGTTAATAAGGGAGGCCTGGAGCTACAGTTCCAGAAATGGAAGTCAGTTCTTTCATGACTAATGAACTTGAATGGCCGATGAGATTCAAATGGAAATCAGGCCTAGCTCATAATAAATGTCAAGTAAATATTAGAATAATAAGAAGATGATATTTCTACCTGACCAAAGATCTGGACAGGAGCACCACAGACAACAGTCGCACAAATGCTGCAGTCTTCAGAGGCGGAGAGAACCAGTAAGCGGCCGCCTGGCTCACACATCTCTACGGAACTTATCCAGTCTTCATGAGGTCGGAGCGATCTTATCAGAGTTGGGGCTTCTGTGAGTTTGTTCTTACTGGAATTAAGACAGTACTCCTGAATGAACAGAAATGCCAGAATTCTAAACTGTGCAAATATTAAATGATTGCAGTGATGTAACGCTTTTTTTTAAAGTCTGATACGGAAATTGAAAAAGGTACATTTGGGAAGAGCAATCTGTGATACAAATGCAAAAGAACAGCTCATGGTAACAGAGGTTAGGAAAATGGTATGAACGTTCAAAAGAAGGTTTCTAACTGATTTAACTAACTTGAGAAGTGGAAAGAAAGGAAGGAGGGGATGGGGGAGGATGGAAAGAAAAAAAATCAACAGTAAAATCAGCTATTTGATGAAATTGATGAACTTCATCATGTATATAGGTCGTCACATATTCGTTATCCATTTTATATATATTAGTGTATATATATCAATCAAAATCTCCCAATTCATCCCACCACTGCCCCCCGCCCCTGCCACTTTCCCCCCTTGGTGTCCATACGTTTGTTCTCTACATCTGTGTCTCTATTTCTGCCCTGCACACTGGTTCTTCTGTACCATTTTTCTGGGTTCCATGTATATGCGTTAATATACGATATTTGTTTTTCTCTTTCTGACTTACTTCACTCTGTATGACAGTCTCTAGGTCCATCCACATCTCTGCTTTTGTATTTCAAAGAACTCAGCCTCAGAAAGCCTGCGTGAAAATAGTTTGGTTTTTTTCCCTTCTGTTCGAGATAGGAAAAGAGCCACCAGAGCTGGGTAGTTTTAGAAAGTAAAGGCGGGCAAAGCGGGGGACAGCTGGGTTTTCTAGTCCCTTCTGCTTGAGCTTTAAATGTTTTTTAAGAACTCACTTTTGTCAAGCTGTCTTGGATATGGGTGCTGTTAGTTCCAAGGGCCACAGGAGGCAGTGGGAGGGGAGGGCAATGGAGAGGAGGGGAGGAAGAAAGAGAGAAAATTAGCAGATACTGGAAAAAAGCAACAGTGAATGTCCTTCTCATAGTGTGAGATGAGACACCCTTTCACAGAAAGAACAGAAAGATATGGGAGGCAGACGGAAATACAGAGATAAGAAGAGACTCAATTCTTAAATATAGCTCGGATCAGAGCAATTTTTCCTGAACCAGCTTGATTTGTACAGTGTAGTGACTTTTGACCTACATTTGAATGTTGCATTTGTCTTTTCGTGGAATTAATTCTGTTCTAGCAGTTATAAAAACAAAAGGAAAAGCAATCGTGTATTTTAATTTCATACACTAAGGCTTCATTTTCCAATCACATTCAGTCTGATTAAAGTATTCAAAATTTAATGCAGTGTGATTCAGTATATTTCAAAAAAGAAGTTTTTTTTTAATAACTGTGAATCAGTTTTATAACATAGCTATTGATCTGAGGTTGGTTTTCAAGTTAGAGTTTTAAAAGTATGTGGTGTGCTATGTCTATTTCTAGAGTTGGAGAGATAGGGGTAGGGATGGTTTATCTGTGGAGATACATTTATCCCAAGAAACTGTCAGATGATTGTGGTATAAAAAGACATTAGATGATGCTTGTGCTTCTTCAGTGTCCATCTCAGCACTGACCACTGTTGTGTTGGGCAGAGTGTGTACTGGCGCCCCTCCTCAGCTGATTGCTTTGATGGCCAGTGACTTTGATCGAGCCTATTCACCCAGTGTTTAAAATTTGATTTAGTTGCCCATGTTTAAACATTAAGAGGTTTCATATAATATCCAAATTTCTTGCTTCTCTTGGAAAAGAACATGTCATTCCCTGAGAGTAGCTGTGGCCCCCTTTATGGAAAATAGGTTCCCTCTAAGTCAGTGTAATGCCACCTTTCTTTTCCTTTTGCCTATGAACACTGAGGCTGACTTTCATTTGCTATTTATCATCTTATACAAGACTTGCCTTCCTGACCCCTGTAGGCATTGTACTTTGTAAATCCTCTGACAAAAGTTGATCATTCATAGGCCAGTCAGATATGCTGGGGATCCCTAACGTTCCCTCATCCCACACAGGCTGTGTTCCCTGCTGCGTTCCTGTGGATACAGTGTGAACAAATAGAAGACAAGGAAATTGCTTCTGTATTTAAAACATAAATTGTCAATGGGGAGCTCTCGCTAGATGGATACACATTAAGAGCGGTAGCCAAGATCTGTGAAAACTATCATGTAACACATATATTTTTCTAGGAAAAAGTACTCAGTAATTGGACTGGCTTTTGAGATTTTGGGAGGGGAAGATGCAAAGAAAGTAGTAGTATGAAAAATTCAGACAGTTCTTCAACCAAAGCTTTGTTTTTCTTTCTAGTTAATATACATCTTGCTATACAGGATTTTAAAGTGGGAATGTTAATTTCTTTTTAGCAGTTTATTATTATCTCTTCAGAAAATATCTGTTTGTTTCTTATGATACATCACTTTCTAACTTTATTAAAGTTACATGTATATGTCCCATCTCCCTTAGAAGACTGTAAGCTCCTTGAGTTCAGGAACCATATCATCTTCATTTCTGGTGTCCCCAAGACTTCAATTAATAATCTAGCACATGTTAGACACATATAAATGTTCAAGGAAAATACATTTTATAAAAGTAAATCTCTGTTTTTTCAGGCAAAGCATTGGCGACTTGAGAACTGTTTTTCCCTTCCTAAAAGAAATACTAATTTAATGGAAGATAAGATTCAAGAGAAAAGCATAAAGGAAATTCCTTTGCTTTCTAAGGAGGAATCATGGTTAGACCCATCAAAACATTCTCTACTTGATAAGTAAAACAAAGAGTCAACATACAAGTAAGTACATCTTACCTGTAAGGAGTAAAATTGGCCCCAAATTCCTTCTGTGCTTTGTGGAATGTTCAATGACTACTTCAAGATTTTGCTAACATTTAGGTTATTCGTAGGTTTGTGTGTGTAGCAACGGGAGAACGTATGTTCTCAGGGTGATATCTGATTCTTACTTCTTGTCTCTGTTGAATGCTTGACTTCTGTTCTGTGTCTTCCAGTCTCTTGTTTCTACTCCATTATCAACCTAATTTTGGAAATTAACCCCTTTCTTTAAAAGCAATATATGTGTGTATATGTGTATGTATGTATCTACCTAGCTAGTTACCTGTCCATCTTAGAATGTATGTCAGATTTTACTCCTGGTTTTGGTAAGGCACACAGAGGTATATATGTCAGAAGTTCAAAGAGCTTGACTTTGAATATTGGATATCACTCTCCTTTTATGACTTCTAGCCTTTCCTTCCTGTTGTTCAGCCATTTCTTCTTTTCATGCCACTCTGATGGATCCCATCCTTACATTCCTCTAACTCTAATGCCAGGCAGTTTTAATTGTTTCTTTTGTTTCCCATATTCTTGCTAACTCATGCTCTCATAATTTCACCTTTCATATTAAACAATCTTTTGAGAAAACAATTTTGTTCATTGTATTTTCTTTGATACAATTGGCATTTTTATTACCATGTGCCTATATTACTTTTTTTAAGGTCTACAGAAAAATTGCATAGAAAGCACAGAGAATTCCTACATACCCCACGCCCATCCCACACAGTGTCAAACATATTAGTGTGGTACATTTGTTATGATTGATGAACCAATATTGATACTTTATTGTTAACTAAAGTCCATAGTTTTCATTAAGGGAGTACAGTTGAGGGTTCTCTGATGACACCAGGCAGAGACCTCTGCACTGCACCTTTCTAAATTAATGCACTCTTTGGCTAAACTCTTGGGGCTCAAACCCACCAGTTGGGGTTTTTCTGTTCCAGTCCCCTCACACTGGCAGCCTCGCCTCTTGCACAGCTTCTCCTGGGTTAACTTCTTCTTGACCAATAGGAAGCTCACACGTCCTTGCTACACCAACTGCTCCACAGCTACCCCTTCTCCTCCTCTCACTGGGGTACTTTCAACCACAGTAGACTTTTTCAGATATTAATGAGTCACTGATTCACTGTGTTCTTCTAATGGTTACCCCAGGGAGCATGTGTTAAACTCTTTGCCTGGTTTATGTGAACAGGAGCTAGAACTGAAGGAGAAGCATTCCTCCTCTCCCGTGGGAGTGGTTCTCAGTGCACACCTACGACTCTCTCCAGTGCAGTCCTCTCTTAGGATTGCTGCATCCTTAGTCTGTTTCTATCGTAGAGTGGTGGTTGGCCTGAGCATCACAAGATGCTACCTCCTTGACAAAGTGGGCCTGCGCAAGGAATCGATCTAGCACCTCACTTTGGAATGTGGGAATACTTTTTACCTCTTAATTAATTAATTACTTTGCTTTTAGATTTTTTGGACCTCTGATGACGAGGTAGGAGAGAAAAAAAAATTCCCCTTTAAACATCCTATTACACTAAATTACCTTTTGGTATTTGTTCCTCCATTTCCTTGAATTATGGCTTGCTGAAATGTCAAGTGGCATTTTACTTTCAGGCAGAAGAATCTTTCAGTTTAGAAATACAGCATGACCGACCCTGTACGAGAATAGAGGGCTGAGAATGGAAAGACTTGGTGTACGATAAAATGCCCCCACCCAGTCACCCAACTCAATTGTACAGATCAGGAGATAAAGTTACCCCAGGGTAACACAGATTGATCATTGTTTCTCTTCCTGTGACACTTCTAGAAGAGTGAATGCAAGTGTCACAGATTCCTGTTTGAGTATTTCAGCCAAGATATTAATTTCCCATTACTTATGACAATCTCAGTTATTCTTTTTTTTTTTAAATTAGCCTTTCCTTAGATTTAAAAATTGGCACTTTAAACTGTTGACTTCTTTCCTGACTTCTATCCATCTTATTTCATTTCCTATTGTTCCATGACACTTTGCTTGTCTTCTGAAAATTAGTGCTGATGTATAGGTTCCTAACTTCACAGATTTCTCTTAAAACTAGAGCTTTGCATTCTGCCAGAGGAAATAAGACTACAGCAGAGTGATCATCTCACCTTCGTTATACATTTCTGTGGGCCTTGGGAGATGTTTCTGGCAGTAAAAAGCAAAGTTAGCTCTGTTTATACCACATCTTTTCAAGTGACAACACATCCCAAAATACCTGTGATATTTAAAATTTCTGCCTTTAATTCAAATGAGTGAATTGAAGTAAATTTTAAGACTGTAATAATGAGATAGAAGGGAATAATATCATTTTGGAATTTTTGAACTATTTGAAAGGAAAAGGTTAAAAACGTATCCTCAGAATTGACTTGGCAGGTACAGCCCTCACTTCTCCCAGAAACATGTCCATGAATCCTATGGAGAAAACCTACAAATGAAATACACTTGTCAGATGTAGAATGTCCCTTGTGGCCTCCATCCAGTACTGAAGAGATTACAGATCACTTTTTCCCTAAGAAAATATTATTCTGAAGAATGTGCCCTATTTCTAATCAGATTAGGAAATCCAAGGAGAAAATCATGCCAGTTGTTGTCCATATGCAAAAGTATGAAAGAAAAGTAAATATGTGAAAGAATTTAGAGAGACTAAAAGGGGAAAAGCACATTTGGTGTGTGTATGCAGGTGGAGGGATGTTTAAATGGAAGGGGAGGAAGAGTAAGAAAGATAGAGATGAAAAAAGAAAAAAGCCAATAGAAAATTAAAGAAGCATGAAAAATGAAGGAAAAATTTAATAATTTAAAGCCATGTTCTCACCTTAACTCCTAAGATTCTCTTTCCAGGATAAAAGCTTGGCATTTATGATGTTCTGTCTTATACATAAATACCAGGTTTTCATAGTGCTTAAGGTATCTTATAGTATTGTGTGTGAGAAGTAGGTAGGTGGTAAATGTCGTCTTCAGTTTAAGTCCTGGGGATATGCAGATGAATATAGAATTTAAGAGAAAATAGGAAGTCCTAATGCTGAGTTAAAAATTGACACAAAGAAATAGATTTTTCTCCTTCTGTAGGTTCTGCAAAAGTCATATTACCACTAGAAAGTGGGGAAAAAAAGAAATCGAAAAAAGTAAATGGGGGAACAAAAACCACAGTGGACATGCATTTTTCTTAACCTATGGCAATATTTGGTTTCTGGATTAACACAAGATTATTGTAATCTAGAAACATTGTAGATAGAATGAATAATTTAGACAATATAACCTTAGAGTATTTCTTTATTATGAAAATAGTACATGTTCATTAGGAGAAAAATTAGAAATACAGACAAGCAAGAAGAAAAAGATGACAAGAAATCATTAGCAGCAAAACCACCAATAACAGGCATTTCACTCTTCAGGTCTTGTTCTGAGCATGCATATACAAATAAACAAATATACATTTTATAAACGTGAGGATATAATACACACAGTTTATAACCTGTTTTACTACTTAAAAACATACAGCCAGTACACTTCCGAGTTACTTAATATGAGTATCTACAGACATCAGTACTCGAAATGACCTCTTAGGAATTTATCACGTAGCTTTTTAAACATTCTCTTCTTTTAAATTATTTACGCTGTTTACAAATTTTAACTGAGAAACATTTATTGAAATACCTTCATGCACACGTGTTAAGAGTACCTGACTGAATTCATCATTACAATAAATTCTTTGAATTGGATTGCTGAGTCAAAGTTTTAAAGGCCTCTGAGTCTTGCTAAATTGCCATCCCAATGGTGTGAAGGCTCCACCACCAGCAGTATATAGAAATGGCTGTCTCTGAACCAGCCCTGACTGTTGTCATTGTCTTAAAATTGCCACTCTGATTAATCATCAGTTTTATTTTTTAAAAAATTTAAACTTGCCACTCTGATAAATCATCAGTTTTATTTTTTTTTAATTTTAAATTTAAAAAAAATTTAAATTTTTAAAAATTTAAAAAATTATTATTTTTAATTTAAATTGCCACTCTGATAAATCATCAGTTTTATTTTTTAATTATTTTTTCACGTTTGTTAATCTTTAATAATTCGATAATGAACTTGAAAGAGGTATCTGATGTCTGCTAGACTAATTCCTCTTGAGGCCTTAAGAGAAGCACACCCCAGCCTCTTCTTGAATATATCCTACAGGCTGCACTCACCATTGTGCAGATAGCCTTCTCTGTTATTCAACCACTCTGTTATAGAAGGGCTCTAATTGTAGGTCGGATCTATCCATTTGTAGGACATGCTCTCATCCATCTTCATCTTATTCTAGGGCAACAAAGAGCAAATCTACCCCATCTTCTACTATCTGACAAATTTTTCTTTCGCTACCATTAAAAAAATATTTATGGGGAAATGATTATTAGAAACCAGTATAAAATAATTAGATGGGAAATGAAACATAAATTCCATTAATTTCTCTGTAAGTTTATATAAGGCAGAAGGTACACTTAAAATTAATGTTCCTTAGAAATATGAAATAATCATGTTCTAAATTCCATATTATTATTAGATGGGAACTGATACTTAATATCATTTATAAGCTGTTGATTATCTAATTATTCTGCCAGTAGAGCTTATGTGAGAAAATAAAATAGGAATATTATAAATATAAAAAATACAAACATAAAATAAAATAAGAGTATTAGAACTGTCTGTAGGTGGTGTTGGAACTCCTGCTTTGAGTGAAAAATATTGTATTATTCTTTCTTAAAGAGATCGTAGCCAATACTTATTGAGTTCTTATCATATTCCAGGCACTGTTCTAGGGTTTTTTATGTTTAACATTTAATTGTCACTATAATCCTTGGTGATATCTACAATTATAATCTCTATTTCATAACTAGGAAAGCAAGACAGAAAAAAGTTAAGTGATTTACACAATGAACAAGAGGTGAGCCAGGGACCCCAAAGCAGGCATTCTAATTCCAGAGTCAGTACACTTTGCCACTGCTCTATTCTGCCTGTCTGACAAGCAACATGTGACCATATTGAAAATTTGCTGGTCTCTGAGTCAAGTGATCAAATGTTTTGTCAAGTACCTGCTATGGGTAAGCCACTACTCTAGGCACCTTCACTTTCCTTTAGGGCACTTGGGGACTTGTCACACATCGTTCCTACTTCCTACATCCAGAACCGAGAGATGGCAGATTTAGTCTTTCCCTCTCATAGAATTGATGGCAAGGATGCCAGAGCCCATAGTAGGCTCCCTTCTTGCATCACCACGTAAGACATTTTTGGAAAAGTTTTAAACTCTATCTGTGTTCCTTATTACATTCTTTAGCTTTTTTGTATTCGACCACTAGGAATATTGGACTCTTAGGAATATTCACCTCTTTCCATTTCCCTGTACATTTTCATAGTAACCACTTTCCAAGAAGTCAAATGTCTATGGAAAAGAAGCAATAGGTTGGCCTGTAAATTGATTCTACAGTCTAGTTGTTCATAGAACTGCCCTTTGTCTTGGAGTTTTATCAGTATGGCTCCATTTCCTAGGCAGTCATCTAATTAGTGCAGATTGTTATGACTCTCTAGAAGAGCTTCTCTTACTGTCCGCCTTCCTCTTTCCCTCTGTGGATTAAATTCTTTAGTGGAGATAGACAAAGTCTTTCGTTTCATACAAAAGATACTCAGTTTAAATGCCACTGGATGAGAGAGCTGGAAAACAAAGAGTCTAAAAGCAGGAAACCATTCAGGGTGTTTGGAGAAAAACTAAGGTCTGGTGTTAACTAGTCCAAAGATAGACCTCCCTCAAACTTTTGCACCTCAGTTTATTTCAGTTATACTTTTCTGAGGAAAAAAATATATTCTTAACCTAGTAACTGCCAGACCTAACTGCACCGTAATCTACCTTTCCTGCATCCACCACCAACTTCTTATTTTTACAGATTCTCTTACTATTTAAAATGACTCTCTAAAGGTACCATCATTCTTGTCTTCAAAGCCCGGATAGTGGCTGAATAAACATGTCTTTTTTTAAAATTAATTTTTATTGGGGTATAGTTGCTTTACAATGTTGTGTTAATTTCTGCTATACAGCAAAGTGAATAGGTTATATGTATACACATATCCCCTCTTTTTTAGATTTCCTTCCCATTTAGGTCACCACAGAGCACTAAATAGAGTTCCCTGTACTATACAGTAGGTTCTCATTAGTTATCTGTTTTATACATAGTAGTGTGTATATGTCAACTCCAAATCTCACAATTCATCCCAAACCCCTTCCCCCCCGGTATCCATATGTTTGTTCTCTACCTTTCTCTCTATTTCTGCTTTGCAAATAAGTTCATCTGTACCATTTCTCTAGACTCCACATATAAGTGATATACAATATTGTTTTTCTCTTTCTGACTTACCTCACTCTGTATGACAGTCTAGGTCTACCAACGTCTCTGCAAATGGCACTATTTCGTTCCTTCTTATAGATGGGTAATATTCATTGTATATATGTACCACATCTTCTTTATCCATTCCTCTGTTGATGGACATTTATGTTGCTTCCACGTCCTGGCTATTGTAAATAGTGCTGCAATGAACATTGGGGTGCATGTATATTTTGGAATTATGGTTTTCTCCAGGTATATGCCCAGGAGTGGGATTGCTGGGTCATATGGTAGTTCTATTTTTAGTTTTTTGAGGAACCTCCATACTGTTCTCCGTAGTGGCTGTATCAATTTACATTCCCACCAACAGTGTAAGAGAGTTCCTGTTTCTCCACACCCTCTCCATCATTTATTGTTTGTAGATTTTTTGATGATGGCCATTCTAACTCATATGAGGTGATACCTCATTGTAGTTTTGATTTGCATTTCTCTATTAATTAGTGATGTTGAGCATCTTTTCATGTGTTTGTTGGCCATCTATCTGTATGTCTTCTTTGGAGAAATGTCTGTGTAGATCTTCTGCCCATTTTTTGATTGGGTTATTTGTTTTTTGATATTGAGCTGCATGAACTGTTTGTATATTTTGGAGAGTAATCCTTTGTCAGTTGCTTTGTTTGAAAATATTTTCTCCCATTCTGAGGGTTGAATAATATGTCTTATTCATGGGAGATAGTATGTTGTGAGGGAGATCATTCCAGTGTGATTTGGGGAAAAGCTGCTACCTACCATCAGTCTTTCGGATGGCAAAGATTTCCTTAAAAAAAAAAATCTATAATTCCAAATAATTTATGTAGATACGCCTCCAAATCAAGGATGTAGAGCTTAACTCTCCTCTTCATCTTCCTTAAGTGTAGACTGTGCTTGGAAACTTGCCTCCAGAGAGTAGTGTATAGACAGGAAGGGAAAAAGTAACTTTACAGAAACTTGGGAAACACAGCTTTGGCCAGGTGATAAAGTAGACATCAACAGTGGTAAGTCAGGTTGATAGCCTGTGCCCTTGATAAGATATAATGAGAATAGCACTTCATCTCTGTTGTCTTCCTCCCAACAACCCATAATCCTCGTGTAACCATAAATAAACATCAGACAAACCCAAATTGAAGGAGATTCTACAAAAAAACTGACTGATATTTCTTAAAATTGTCAAGGTCATCAAAAACAAGGCAAGTCTGAGAAATTATCATAGACCAGAGAAAACTAAGGAGTCAGAAAACTAAAAGTAATGTGGTATCCTGGGATAGAAAAAGGACATTAGGAAAAGCTAGGAAAATCCTAATAAAATACTAAGGTTAGTTAATCATAATACATCAGTATTGATTGTGACAAAGGGTAATATAAGATGTTAACAACAGGGAAAATTGGGTGAGGGGTATACCAGAACTCTGTACTATCTTTGCAACTTTTCTGTAACTCTAAAACTACTCTAAAATGAAACTTTTACTTTTAAGCTCATTTGGGTTTGGGAGATACAGTCAAGTAGGGGAGAGGAAAAGGAAGGAGGGAAATAAACATTTATTGAATACTATTATTTATTAGACACATCGCTGAGCATTCATCCATCTTATCTCCTTTAAAATCACAGTAAGAATCTCATACAGAGCAGGAAATTGAGGCTGAGAGTATAGGAAACATCTCAAGTTTCTATAGCTGCTTAATGTGTAACAAAATAGGGAATAAAGGTTAAGGGCAGCAGTAATCACAAAGGGTCAAAGGGTGCAAGGAAAGGAGGCAGAAGGGAGAGGGCAGACCCCATGGCTCTCAATGATTTTGTGAAAAATAGGTATGTTTTCTGGCCTGAGGCTTCCAAGAGAATAATAACAATTTTTGGAAACATGGCTTGTAGCTGTTAAGGTTGAGGTCTGTGACAGTGAATGTTAAATATATTTGAGACCATTTCCTGTTTTCTGACTGGAATTATATACAACTATGGACTGGTTTCACTTCCTGTGTTTTATTGATAAAAACTTTTCCTGTGGATTCAAGCTAATCTATCGATTCATATAACAAGCCTCAAAAGCACTGAACTATTTTTTTCTTTTTGCATTTTGGGTACCATAAATGAAGATCCAGGCATAACACTGGATAAAAGAGCTTTTGACACATACCACTGATTAGTCCACATAGTTTACACACAGGGCAAGGATAGTGTGCGTTTCTGTGGCATTTTCTTCTTCATAGTTTTTTCTCTGACCTTCCAGTTTTTATGGGGACAGGACCTTTGCTTAACTAGCTTCTCCTCCTTCGTGGCTCTTACCCTTTTATACCATCACCTGGCTAGTAGGCATTTTATTCAAAGATATAACTTGATTAGTGTAAACAATTGTCACTACTTAGGTCCACAGGATAGAGATTTTTTGTTGTTGTTGTTAAAGGTGTATATTTATAGCCAGAAAGTGTCTGTTCATCCTTTGTGGTTGATATTTTGTTTCATCATAAATTATTTTCTTCCAATGTCAGACCATCAGAAGTTACAAATTTAGGTATGAATATAAGGAAAGAAATGTTTATAACAAAAAAACACATAACCTTTACAATGGTGAAGTTATAAAAAAATTATTCAGTAAGTAATCACTGTTGATATATTTTTATCATGTTATTATTTTATAGATTGGTGTGAAGAAAACAAGTAACTACTCTATGTGCCAGGAATGTTGGTGTTCCTTAATAAATCTGAAAGTAAGCTCTTGTGATCTCATTTTAACAAAGGAGGAAAGCGAGGCTCAGAGATATTAAGTGACTTGTCCAAGCTTTCACAGTGTACAATAGGCAGAAGTATAAGGTCTAAACCAGAAAACATGTGGAAAGTGCCCACTATAGTTTCCAAAATAGAGTTGGCACAGGATGTTAATTCTCTCTCCTAAGTGTTTAAAAGATAAAAATAAAATTAAAACTATTTTTGTTCTCAGAAAGCCCAAAGCCACACAGAACAACGTACTTGTTTAGTTGTGGCTGACCAGAAAAAAACTGTAAAAAAAAGTAATTGAAACAAAAGAATTGTTATCATATTGAAGTGTGTTGTTTAGAAGAGTAGTGAGAATCATTCTTGAAGCTCCATCATATGACGAGAATATTTCATTCACTACAAATCTTTTGTCAACTTATGTCCAAGGGGAAGCTGCACTTTCACAGAGCAAATGTGCTCATTTCTGTTGAAATTTTGCTGTCAAAAGGTACATTATTATTTGTTAGTATTCAATGCATATTTATAAACTAATCTACTCTATAAGGGTTTTGTCAGGATTACATGAGAAAATATATGTGAAGCACTTAATGCCTGGCATATTGTAGAAACTCAGTACAGTTTTATTAGTAATATTATTTATTATTATTATACCTTGGAGCATGACTTTTAGAGTGAAATATACTTGAGTTGATGTCCAAGGTCTACCATTTACCAGTTATGTAAATTCAGGCAAGTTACTAAAGCATCTTGAGCCTTGATTTCCTCATCTGTCAAAAGGGCATAATGATACTTTAAAGGTTGTGAAGATTTCTCCTTTGGTTTAATATAACACATTGGTTCCCAAAGTACGTTCCCTGGTCTACCAGCATCAGCATCACTGGGAATTTAGGTACATTCTGGGGCCCCATCCCCACCCAACTAAGTTAGAAACGGGAATGGTGCAAGTGGTTTATGCTTTGATAAGCCCTGCAGATGATTCTGATGCCTGGTACAGTTTGAGAACCACTGACATGGCACATGACTTGTCTCTGAGCAGGTGCTACTTACCTGTTAGTTTACTTTTCCTAGATACTGAGCTACCACAATGACAAAAGCACAGACAGTTTTTACCTTCACAGAGCTAACAGTTAAACAAACATAGAATCACATCTTGAATTAAGTTTTTGTAGACTTCCATTCCATTATCCATTTATCCCATGAAGCAAAAGGAAAACTTTTTAATTTTGTCCAAGACTTTGCCTGTAAGGGCATAATTAAGAGTCTTCCTTCCCATTATCTCATTGTGTGCATCGTAGATACAATAATAAAGATCTGGTTTACATTTTAGCAAAATGAAAGTGAACCTGCAAACTCAAAATTTTAGATATGTTGTTAAACGCTGAAAAATAGATTCCATCTCACAAAGCCTACAGTTTTCTTGCAGATAAAAGAGAAACTGGAGCTTTTCCAAAACTGCAGAATATTCATTTTCAAGGGAAAATAGCAAAGAATACAAAATGAAAAATAAATGAATGGGGAGCCTTGAGTTTTTTGGTCCCTTTGCATAAAAGGAACGTGGATTTATCTTGAACAGCTGTGTTTATAGGGTTTGCTGATCTGCAGCTGTACCAGCTGAGTAACAGGGAGGTTAGATTTTTTAAAAAAAAAGTTAACTTGGAAATGTGCTAGCCCTTTCTGAGGAATTAATGATATTATACTTTTTTTCCCCATCCTCCCTTAAAACCTGCTGTTGTAAAGGCGGTTTTAGGTCATTAAGCATTGGAAACTTGAAAGAACTACCTGAAGTCAATAAACCAGCTTTTCTTCTAGACCCTGAGAAATACTTTAGGGAAGAGCCAGAGGAGGAATGTCCCCAAATTCCAGAGCTTCCATCACTTCCTGAAAGTAAGTCCTCAACCATCATACCACGTCCACCCTCTCTCCCCACGAAACTCAACCAATTAAGAAAACAAAGTAGAAAAGCACGAAAGTAACACTGTTCGCCTTGTAGGTTGCAGTGAAATGAAGTATGGTTTGACAGCTAAGATTTATAGCTCAGCTGCCGATCTGTGTTCTCAGAAAGGACAGCCAACAGGCCAAAATACATAAGAGGAATATTTTTGTTTTGCCACCTTTCTGAAGTCAGAATGCCATGAATATATATAATGAGTCTGCTATGAGTAAGAACCCATTCCCCCCAATCATCTTAATTTTCAGATCTGATACCAGAGAAAGAGATATCCTAAGGCAGCTTCAGAACAGAGTCTCTGACAATCTGGTTTTGTTCTTTTCATGTGAAACACTATAAATAGCAGCTACTTAAAGTGTATTGTCTTAGAGCCTTCCAGCTGTTGTGCTAGGCTAATATGATGAGTCGACAAGAAAGCTTAATTTAGAAAACAGAAGTGAATGATCTCTGAGGATTTGGAAACAAGATGTGCAAAAGAATGCTCTATTTTTCGGACTGTCTAAGTGTCTAAGAGTGTCTAAGAATTTGAAGAGTAACTTCTGTACAAGCATCCTACCCGCAAAGAGGGACCCGACGGGAGTGCAGGCAACACAACCTGCTACTCAGCGAGGCACTCAGAAAGCATATGGACACTGCAGGGAACTCATTTAAAATAATTAATGAAAAGAGAAGTTTTCAACTTGTAACAGTCAAAAGATCAGAACTGCACTCGAACCATCTGAGATCTGTGGTTTCTAAACTTTCCAAATCCTCTGAGATGGGGGTTCAACATCATCCTTGAGAAATAATAACCCTTGTAGGAGGGAGGCATTTATGTCTACACTTGGGGAAGTTTAAGCCTCTTGTCTCTGCTTGGTTCCCTATAACAGCTGGTCAACATTTTTTTTTTTTTTAATTCCACTTGTAAACAAGATACAGCTGTCATTTCTCACCGCTATATTTCCAGTCTAATTATTATCAGCTTCCTTTGCTTTTTCTCAGTTTCTCTTTTCTAAATCTATAATAGTTCATTTGCTCTCCGGAGGATCATCTATGATATCTGCTCATTTCTTCTAAAAACATGAATCCACAAACATTAGGGCTTTAAATAACCTTTAGTGCATCTGACTGGGCTTTCAGTCTATCAGCCTACTGCTTTTTCCCCAGGATGATTCATCTTCAAGAATAAACATGGGGAGGACTTATCTTGTCCTGCTGAGTCACAGACGGAAGAGAATGTGGGGAACAGACAGTAAGACGAGATCCAGGGAGCCAGAACAAAGTGTAAAGACGGTCCAGACATAGAACATGCAAGATGGAGCAAGGAGTCAGAATAGAGGCAAGAGAAATAGGAGAGAAGGAGATTGCAGAAGCTGGAGAGCCAGGAAGTGGGAGATAGCAAGGGTGAGGGCAGCAAATGCCTCTCCTCAGCCCTGGGAGCTCCTGTTTTTGTGAGGAGCCTTGCACGTTCTGCAGCAGGAGAATTCTCCTTCATCGGCAGATAAATTCTCCTCATGGGCAGGGAGGACGTGTAGGGGAAGTTGGGGATGAATGGCTGGTTGGAAATACAAAAAAAAACTCTAATACATTTTCAAAGAGAATTTTTTCTCCTGGATTTCTTAATATAAAATTTTTCTATAATTTCCACACCGTTTAAAAAAGATGTTTTCTCTCTTTTGCTTTTCTATTTTTCTTCTTTGCTCCCTTTAAAATATTTCCACTCATCTGCCTTCTCTGCAAGTGAAAATAGTTCCTTTTTTAAAAAGTTTCACCGGCTTGAGGGAGAGACAAATGTAAACTACTGAGGACAACAGAATGCATGACACATGCCACCACAAATGAGGTTCTGTGGACGCCTCAGAGAAGAAGGCAGATTAACTCTGCCTGGGGCATAAGAAGGAATTAGTGGAAGTCAGCTCTGAGCTGGAACTTAAAATGAGTAGGCGTTCAAAGGGTGAGGGAGGAGAAGAAGAAGTCAAGATCAAGGAAACATAAGGAAAGACGCATTGTGGTTTAAGTAGGGCACAAGTCCAAATGATTCCAGGCCGGCTGCAATGGGTGACTTCAGATGGTGCCACGTTGACTCAGTTTGACACAGATGAATAGGGTTGAGTTTGGAATGTGTTGAGTTTGAGGTACTGGTGCGCTATTTAGAAATAAGGGTCTGGAGAATGGAAGAGGATGGTAACATGCTCTGCATAATAGCAGTCTTCAAATAGCTGATGCAGAAATCGTGTTTGCTCATGTGTTTGTTTAGCCCTCCTGGTGAATATTGAATGCCTTCTCTGTGCTGGCCCTTGTGCTGGGTGGTGGAGGCGCAGAGCTGACTTGTAGAGGCACAGCCTTCAAAGCTCTTGAAGACTAGTTGGGGAACTAGATAAGGAAACAAATCATTATGTTTTACAACAAAGGCTATAATAGAGATAAGCCCTGGGTACTGTGGGATCACGTGGAGGTTCATAGATGATTTTTCAGAGAAACCAGATTGTGCCTGAGCTAGATATTAAAAGTTAAATTGATATTAGTTAGGTAAGAAAAAAGGGGGATGATATTTCTGGCAAAGGAATAGTATGTGGATGGTGTGCTAAGGGAGCTATGAGTAGTCCCAAATGGCTGGGTTCTTGAAGGGACATGGTGAGAATTAAGGCCAGAGAGGTAAATGGGGGCCAAATCATGGAGCACCTGGTGTACTGTGTTAAGGACTTTGGTATTTATTTTACCAGAAATGCGGAACCATTGGAATGTTTTAGGCAAGTATTCTGAATTATCTCATTTTATCTCTTCTATTAATTCTTCAGTTTTTAGACCTCTTTGTGTTAGCCTTTTAGTGATTACTCTAGAGGTTACAGTACTTTATTTCTTTTTGGAGTACTAGGCTTCCATCTGAGATTATTTTCCTTTATTCAGAAGAAATTTCTGCAGTATTTCTTATAATGTTGGTCTGCTGATGAGTAATTTTCCCAGCTTTATGTGTCTGAAAAATGCGTTTATTTCATTTTGACTTTGGAAGGATTTTTTCACTGGGTTTAAAACCCTAGATAGCAGTTTTTTTCAACTCTTTAAAGATACCATCCCACTGCTTCCTTGCTCCTATAGTTCCTGTTTAAAATTCTACTCTTCATATTATTGTTGTTTCTTTGAATGTAATTTTTTTTCTGGCTGCTTTACAGATTTTTATCGTTATCCTTGTTTTTTAGCAGTTTTATCACAGTGGGCATAAATACACTTTTCTCTGTATATATACTGGTTGGGGTTGATAGGAATCCTTGAATACATCTTTCTTCAATGTTGAATAATTCTCAGCTATTATCTTTTCAAATATTGTTTCTTTCCAGTTACCACTCTCCAGTCCTTCTGGGATTGCAATTACACATATGTTGGATTTTCATTATATCACAAACATTTCTTATGTTCTTCTCATTTTTCCATTTTATTTTCTTCTCTGGGCTTCATTTTGGATATTTTATATTGACTTACCTTTGCATTCACTAGTCCTGTCTCTTTTGCCAGTCTCTTTTAAACCCATGATATCAGTTCCCAATTTCAGATTTTATATGTATATGTGTGTATATATATATATGTATATATATTTCTAAAATGCCATTTGAATCTTGTTTATATATATTCTAATACTCTGTTGAAATTACTTCTGTTTTCATCCATTTTGTCCAAATTTTCTGTTTTCTTGAACATATTTATAATAATTTTAAAGTCCTGGCCTGCTAACATCAGTATCTGGGTGATCCTTGGATCTGTTTCTAATGTTTATTTTTTCCTCTTGGTCATTGGTCACATTTTCCTTCTTTCTTGCAAGTCCTGTAATTTCTGTATAATTTTTTATTATATGGCAGAAATTATGTGTTAAAGATCTACAGATAATGAACTTAGCGTTTTTTCTCTGAGGCAGTGCACCCTTTCCTTAGCTGGACAGAGAGCATGAAGGGTGGATCATGTTAATCCAATTAGGGATGGAGTTCGGTCAGTGCTGGGTTATGGCTTTAGTTAGACTTCATTTACTTTCAGTTTCAAATGTTTGTTTTAGGCCTCTCCCTGTAGTGGAATATTGTGACTGCAGGAAACATTAATCTGCCTCCCCAGTCCAATCCATAGCCTGCCACACTACCCCAGCACTCAGAATATGTCCTGTGGGGAACCCTGGCCACAGTCACAAAGTGTCTCCAAATTGCAGTTCATCACACCAACCCACACAGTCATCAAAAGCTCTTCTGATTTTCCCTTCCCTTAGAAAATCTGTCTATGGCAAGCCTGTTTCTTAGCAATGCCCAGACATGCTTAATCCCCAAAGGGAGGAAAAGATTTGGTAATCTCAGCTCATCTGAGAATGGTTCTACTATCTCATGAATTTTAATTTGATAATATTTGTTTTCACAGCTCTCTGAAGGCTTTAAGAATATTATTTCTGTAATTTACCTTTTTTTTCTATCTGGTGCAATGAGAAGGAAGACCTGCCACTACTTATTAAATCTTATCCAGAAACAAAATTCCTGTTGAAATGTTTAAGCAGGCAAGTGACATGACCAGATTTGCATTCTAGAAAGCTTTCTGGAAACTGTGTAGTTGATGCATTATAATGGGGCTAGACTGAAGGCAGTGTATGTGTCAGAGTGGTGGGAACTTGTTGTATGACGCAGCTATCTTCCTTTGAATTTTCATTTTGCCTTCTACTAGTTGTTTATATCTGGATAAATTAAATAAGCTACAAAGTCTCAGTTTTCTCATCTGTAAAATGGGGCTAATGGTACCTGCTTCTTGAAGTTGTGTGGGTTAATTTTAGCACAATGACTAGCACATAATAAGCACTCATAAATGGTAACTATTATTATTTTGAAGATAAGGGGACCCTAAAAAGGAAGTAACTATTAATTTGAGAAGTGTTACAGAGATAGAATTTAAAGGATTTTGTGCCCTGATGAGATGTTAAGACATGTATGACTAT